AAGCAGCGCGTGATCCATCCATCTCGTGTTTGTGTCTCTGCCTTTTGTTCGTCTGTTGTTGTTACCCGTGCGAGTGCCTTCTTCTTGTTGCTTCGGTTGACGTCGACGCATGAGGCGGCAGTGAGGCAGCAAAGGAGGAGCAACAATGCCCAGCGGCTCATCATCTTCGCCTGCCTGCCTACTGTTGACTGCTGTGTGGAGGGGTGGGACTCGGCTGTGTGTATGTACGTTCGTATGTATACGAATTGTTAAGGAAGTCGGGACAAGGTATATGACAGCATTCATGCCTATGAATCAACGGTGCCACTGGATGGGATGTGCAATGGTATGGTACCGACTTACTTGGGCGTTGCTTTTTGGTCGCAAACTAATGAAAGTGTTAGTGTGCAGTGCATGCCGTGGTTGATTCCATATAACATATTATGTGGTGATGATCAAATTGAATTCGGTAAGAATGCGGATCAGATCTGTGTCTGTCGATGCATCGATATGATATCGGTTCGGCCCCCTGTGTTGTGTTTATATCCCCAAAAGCAAAGCGACTGCCCCCAACTCAGTTGACACTTCTTGTCTGTCTGTCTGTCTGTTCACTCAAGTGGTCCCGTCCGTCGTCGGTGTTGTGCCTTGGCTCACCAGCCCCCGCACTTGGAGCTGCGGCAGCGCTGGCACGGGGCGCCCTTGGGCAGACACCAGCAACCGGCACCCTGCATACGTGCATCAGAGAGATGACCAACCACAACGGCAGGCACCATTCGAGAATCCATTTACCCGTGTGTTTTCGGCCTGTCTCTTTGTGTTGTGTGTCGTTTTCTCGCTCACCGAGTTGCAGCAGTTTTCTTCCTGTGTGCACCGGCGGTCTCTTACGCCGACGATGAAGCGGTCTGTGTCCTCGCGGGGGGTGACGGGCTCAGGCTCAGGCTCATTTTCTTCCGTCTTGTCTTCTTCCTCCTCCTCAGTGTCCGGCCCCTCCTCCTCTTCTGGCTCGGCAGGTCGGGCAGGATGGGGCTGGCCCTCAAAGGGCGGGCTGCTGTCGACGTAGTAGGGCTGGGTGTCGAACTGACCGCCGTAGTGCTCGCAGTAGGCCTTGGGGTTCTTCTCGTACAGGACTTTGCCCACTGAGGCGCCCTGGGCAATCCACACCGTCTTGCCGCGACCGCGGCCTGCATCGACACACACACACGCACGAACAGCAGAATGCAGTAAGGACAGAGAGGCGCAAACAAGGGGAGGGGGCTCTCTGTCTGTCTGTCTGTCTGTGTGTCGGTGTGTCTGTGCCTCTGTGTGTTGGATTGTGTCCGTACTTCGTGTGCCTTTGCCCCATTCTTTGGGTCTGAATGGTGCGGCATCGCCTTGTATGGTGGCGACCTTGGCCATGTTGTTCGCACCTTCCTGCGCTCGGACGATGGTCGCGTCGCCGTCGCAATAACCGCGAATAGCCTAAATGGATACACACACAGGCGACACATAGGGGTGCAGTCAGTCAGTCATTGCGACACCACACACACCGCGACTGATGGATGGATGGATGGATGGATGGACTCACGTGTGCTGCAGCTGTGAGATAGGTTGCCACTGCCTTCCCGTCGGACAGACACCCACGATACCACGCCACCTCCTGAAGACATGAGACATGACGCACGTCACGCACACAGACACACAGAGAGAGAGGGGGAGAGAACCAACAATGAACGTCTTGGCGCTTTGCCGCTGAGTGCACCCCTTCGCCCTGTGTGCCTACGTGGTCGAATTCGGAGCCTGCCAAAACGATGTGTGCGACAGGCCAAACGACAGGCCAAATGTAGACCATCCTGGGTGTACGACGGCGAAATCGTTTTGCCTACCTGGGTCGGATTTGCGCTCGCCGGGGGGAGGGCCACGCACGAGGTCACCGGGCATCCACGTCACGACTGCATGACCACACAAACACGCACACAGGGCTCCATAAACGGGGCCAGCCAACATTCTGCCCCGGGGTGTGTGTGAATGTGTGTTTCCCTCCCTCCGATGCTGTCTAGTTTGCTTACTCTGCTGAAACTTGTAGAAGGATTTCATCTTGGTATCGGTGTTCTGGGCCCACTCTCGCCAGGCGTCAGCGTCGGTCTTGGAGGCATGCTTGTTCTTGTCTGTATGGGTGTGGAGGCACCGACGCACACGAACAGTAAACATACCAACACAGACAGACAAACAGAGATCAGTGACAGACCCACAGAACGGTAAGTATCACGTCCGTCCGTCCGTACTGTTGTATTGTGTGGCATGCTCGCCAATCGCCTCGGCCAGGGGAGCGAGGGCCTGACGGCTGCACACACACACACAGACAGGAGAGGGAAACCACACACCCCACACATGGATGGATGGATGGATGGACACATAGATCTGCCGCACGTAGATCTGTGTGAGGGGTGTGTAGTGTAGTGTGGTGTGATGTGGCAGGTTACCCTTCGGCTGTGCATACGACGTCGTTCCACCAGTCGGATATGAGCTTCTTGCCCACGAGGTGGTGATAGGTGAGGGTCATGGACCCCCACCTCTGACCCGTGGCGTACGGCTTGCGCTTGACGCTGCTGTAATCCACCTGCATGCCGCGGCCGACTGCAGGCAGCCACACACACAGAAGAGGGCACCAACACCCATGAAAACAGTAAGATCTCCCTCCCCGGCTGTCCCTACCTTCGTCGCAGCCTTTGTTGGCGCCGTTGCAGAAAGAACCTGCCCGTGGAGGTGGTGTTGGCGGCGGCATTCGTGTCGGTAAGGTCGAGGGCGTCACGGCGGTCCTCAGTATGGAAGAGATCTCGGAGGAATGAGGAGAATGGTGTGATGGATTCGGTGGATGGGCTCAACTCGGCATCGGCCTTGCGGAGGGTGAGGGTGAGGGTGGTGGGGATGGCGGTGAGGAGGAAAAGAATGCAGAGGGAATGCATTGTCGAGCGAGAAGGGAGGGAAAATGAGAACTAATGCGGAAGGGGGCGGAAATGGACGGGTAAACAGATCTTTGGCCAGGATGCGGGAAAAAGCGGGGAGGCCAATCTAAAGCTCTAACTCGCGCATGCCTTCCCCTCCCCTCTCCCCTTCTCGGATTTGCCGCCTCACCTTCTCAGCTAAGCGTCTGTCCGTCTGTCTGTCTGGACATGCAGAATGCGACTGACGTGCCCAAGCTAAGCTAGCTTATCCCCAGAGCTCTCATATATTGCCGTGGCCTGCATGAGATGTCGCCCATCCATCCATCCATCCATCATTTCTCGGATTTGCGTTTGGCCGGTGTGTTCCTGGCCGTGCAGGTGCGGGCGCCCCTTTGCACGAGGTGAAGCGCATCGCATCTTACGTCTGCCGCAAGGTACATCATGTCAGCACGGCAGATGAAGCAACTGCAGACTCATGTGGCGTCTTTCAGGACTTCTCTCGCTGGGCGGTCAGACATTGCAGCGTCGCCAACCATCGCCTCAACACCAGTGCCATCCTTCCCGACGGCATCACTATCAACCTCCTCAACAACATCACCACACAAGACCACGAACTCTTCCTCGAGCCGTCCGAGGGACTCATAGCGGCGTATCAGCAGACGAGCCGGGAGCAACGAAAAACAGTGGCACAATAGCACGCATGGATGAGTCTGCACATGTGAGGGTCTCATTCACCGTCTGTCATGGATTTGCCCCCTCACCTTCTCAGCTAACTGTCTGTCTGTACATGCAGAGTGTGACGTGTCGACTCCTCCCTCCCCCTCGTCAAGCTAAGCTAGCTTATCCCTCGGCGGCTCGGTTGCCGGTGTAGCCATTCAGGTTGGGACCGTTAGCGCCGCCTGCCGACAGCACCGCCGGGGAGTTGCCTTGGGTGCCCGCCTCGATGTCTGCCCCACCTGCCAACCACCAACACACACACAGACGAGAGAGAGGTGTTGGCATTGGCACGAGCAGCTGACCAGCAGCCCCACATACATACCTCTGTCCGGAGCGTCCAGGTCATCAGTCGAACCCAACTTGTGGCCATGCCCACTGAACACCTGCACACGACACACACACACACACACACAGATGGTCGGTCGCATGAATTCATGCGTCGCTCGCAGATGAATCCACTAAAGTTGTGTTGCTGCCGGGTCCATTTCATTCGCTCACCTTGAAGCCTGCCGGCACGCTGGACCTGGCATTGGGCTGATAGAACGAACCTCTCTGAGACGTGTCTGTGGAGCTGGTGTCCTGCCGCCCGATGGTGGTGTAGCCCAGCGCACGACTCGACGTCACAAAGCCGGGGACCTCCTTGACGAAGGGCATGGCGTTCTCGATGCGCTGCACGACCACAGCGGACGGCAGCAGATACTTCAGAGGCCTGCAGGTATACACAACGATTGACTCCATGACATGACCGACACTGTGGGAGCCTTCCTTCTGTGTGCGCTGGTAGGCGTGTGCGGCCGTACGGTACCCGTAGTGTGTGAGTACGGCCACGATGAGTCCGGCCAGGCCAGCCCAATCGATACTAACAGACAAGAGAGAAAATATGGCCACCAACAAGGGCGCAAACCAACTGACCACACATGCCATGCACCACAGACAGACAGGCGACGCGAACAGATCGAATTCCTCATTCTGCAGATGGGGCCAGCCACTTGTGCGTACCAGGCGGGGACGGTGAATGGGAGAGGGAATACGAGCCGGGGTACGTCAGGGGTCTTAAGGCAATCGGCGTGGAGCAGGCAGATCAATATCGACTAACGGCACAAACCACCACACAGCACAGCACCCCCACCAGTCAAGACACCAGATGTGGGAGGGAGCGGGGCTGTGTGCTTACGAATAGGCCCGAGTAGGGTCTGACGAGCAGGATCATGCCCCAGGAGGGGATAAGTGCCCACACGAGCAGCACGCTCAGCACGATACAGATGTTGATGGCCACGGACAGGATGAAGAACCGCATTGTGGTCTCCACCGTCCCCGTGTTGCTCTCGATCTGCGCCAGAAAGACACCGCCCAGCAGCATCATCAGCAGCAACTCCTGCACACACCCACGCCACACACACAGACACACACACACATACGGCATGAACGACAGATGGTGCGGCCCCGATGGTTGGGCTCGTCATGGTGCTCTGCTTACGATGATGTTGAAGTGCATCAGATGCGCGAGAACGAGCCTCTGGACGCCGCCATGAATGACGGCAGCAGGTATGCAGGCGAAGGGCAGCTCCGCTCCGCACACCGTAGCGATGAAGAGGATCGGCAACGTCACCAGGAGGGCCCTGAGCATCACACGGACACGGCAGAGAGGGGCGGCATCCATCCATTCAGCGCCAATATGCAGCGGAGCTTGTGCTAACCTGGTGAGCAGCGGGCAGTTGATGAACCACGACGTGATGTTGGTGCCCAGGTCTCGCGAGTCCGACATCGTGGCAGGGGAGGTTGCGCACTTTGCACCTCGCGAACCTTCTCGAATTTTGCGAGCTGAGTAGTGATCGGCAGAGGAGAGAAAAGTGCACGACGATAGAAACAAAGCAGGCGAGGGACACGAAGGCACGTAGATCTTACGGAAAATGGTTTTCTTCTTCGAATGCAGCGGTCACTGCGACGCACTCAGACATAAACACGACAAAAACCGATGCACTGTCGCCTTCCCCTTTGTGTGTGGTTGCTGCCTGGCTGCGTGTGTGAATGGATGCACTCACTCAGATCCCCGGTTTGTGGTGTACATGGGACGGGACAAGTTTGAGAATGAAAACCTCATCGAATACGGATTCCCAGGCTAGCAATACAAACAAATACCGACCGTGGATGGGATGAATGGCATACAAATGCACCCATCTAACCCTTCCCTTACTGCCATGCCATGCTTGGCTGTCTGTGTGTGTGTGTGTGTGTGTGTGTGGTGTATGCAGAGGACATCTGGTTTCATGTTGACAACTTGTCCTCTGCCCATGTGTACCTGCGGCCTCCCCGGCCGTGGGACGACCCATCCTTCAGCATCGAGGCCATACCGCCCGACGTCCTCTCTGACATGTATGTCTGTATGTATGTGCAGAGGCGCTCAGTTGAGGCAGCCCTGAGTGGGTTGGTGAGGCGAGGCGCCTGCTCGATCATTCTGTGCTGGCTGTGCATGGCTGTGATGGCATGGCAGGTGTCAGCTGACGAAGGCCAACTCCATTGAAGGTTAGTGGATGGACGAGACAAGACAAACATCCATCCCATCAATCCGTCCATCCATTCATTCCACCATCCTGTTGCTGTCGTGCATGCCTGGCTGTCTGCCTGTCTGTCTGTCAGGGTCGAAGCAGTCGTCTGTTGACATCGTGTACACGCCCTGGGGCAACTTGCGGAAAGACCAAAACACTATGGTCAGCCAATACTCATCTGTGTGGTTGCCTGCCACGTACGTTGTGTGTGTGTGTGGTGTTCACACAGGACACGGGTACGGTAGGTTTCCAGGACATGAAGCTTGTGTTCAAGAAGAAGGACGTCAAGAGGGACAAAGACATACTCAAGAGGATAGAGAAGGTCAGTGGCTGACGCACACAAGGCAGGCACTGCACTGCACTGCATTACACACAGCCTACGCCACATCACATTCATATGTGCGGTTCGGTTCCCCTCTCCCTCCTCTCCCATGTGTGTTTCGACAGACCAAGAAGGAGAGCTTCCCTGACTTCGCAAGTGAGAGAAGGAGCTGGCCTGCATGACCCGACCCCTTGAGATACCGTCTGTGTGGCTGTCCTGTTGTGTGTGTGTATCCCCCAGAGGAGAAGGAGGCGCGTGATGTGGAGGAGCGGCATCAGAAGAAGAAGGTGCTGCGGGAGCAGAAGCAGGAACAGAAGGAGGAACAAAAGAGGAAAGAGGAGGAGAGAAAGGTAAGTAAGGCACACACACATAGCATACACTACACGCACACATACGGGAAGGAAGGATGGCGGCATACACAAACGGGGTCGGGTCATGGTGTGCATGGCATGGCATGGTGGCCAATAACCGAACCGTCAGCTCAAGTCCTACGACTCGCTGTTTGCCAGCACCGACCAGACAGAAACCAACGAGGTGAGCGACACTCCACTCCACTCGCCCGATAACAAACAATATACTCTCTCTCGCTCTGTTATCCGTGCTGTGCCGGTGTGTGCGTGTGTGTGATGTGACTGACGTGTGTGGGCTGAGTAGCTGAAGGGAGGTGGGACGATAGAGGAATGCAAGGCGGCCGAAGAGGACTTCTTATGACGGACGGACGGACGGAAGGGGCGATTGGTCTGTCTGTCTGTCTGGCTGGCTGTGTGAGTGTGTGTGTGCGTGTGGATGGCAAATGCCATGAGTCCGTCCGTCAAGACTGACTGTCGACCCTTTGCTACCTACCATTATTTGTAAATGAATGGATGACTGACTTGACAGCCCGACTGACAGATAAATGTCCAACACGCGACGAGACTCACTCACCCACTATACACACACATACACACATACATCCAGCAAGGGCGGCTGGTACGTGTCTGTCTGCACACCCAGTCAGTCGTTGAAGGAAGGAACGACTGCATCGTCTGTCTGTCTGTCACTGTGAAGCCTTTTCCATGAGGTAGATGCTGCCGAGTATGTTGGTCTTGTTGGTCTCCAGGATGCACCCGTTGACCACCATCTCGTCCAAAATGAAGTGCGCCTTCTCAAGGTTGAACATTATCTGTCAGTCGGGAGGGAGGCACACATGACACCCACAAGGGCATAAATGTCTGTCTGTCTGTCCGTCCCACCCCCCCCATGCAGTGCTCTCACGACCCACTTACGTCCAGTTCGCACTGCGGGGATCGGATCCATAAAGGCAGACAGGCAAACAGGGCATGCGACGCGACGTAGTACACACACACGACAGACACACACACACGACAGACATGGTGAGAGTGAACCCGTAGCTATCTATCGTCTTTTGTCTGTTTGCTGTCTCTCTGGTCGACTCCCTCCCGCACTGACTGACCACATTCTCAAAGTACTTGTCGAGGGTCTCCACGAGTGTGTGGATGAACTCCAGAATGGACAGCTCGTTCTGCACATATCACACACACACACACACACACAGTGCCATTCATTGGGTGTCCCGCACGTGCCGCCCCTCCCCCTGATTGCCTGACCTCTCCTTCGCTATCGACCCCGACGATGAAGTAGAGCGATGCGTAGCGCCGGTAGATGACCTTGTACTGGCGGTACTCCATAAACGAACACTGCACACAGACAGACGTAGGATGACATGGCATTATTGATCTTGTGCGGTTTTCGTGGCTGTCCATGCCATGCACACGTGTGCACCTGCAGTTCGGTTCTGGAGAGACATTTTCTGATGAGTTCGCCTTCGAGTGCCACCCTTTCCGGGATGGACAGGTAGTCGTAATACTGCGACAGGCGCGTCTGGCCCTGCTTGTTGACCAGCAAGATGAACTTGATCATCTCATCACACTGCCTGCCAGGCCTTCTTTCCTCTCCCAGCTTCCTTTCGCGAGCTTGAAGAAGAGGGCGCAGGAGTTTTTGTTTTCTTGCGCAAGTCGAGTGGTTTCGTCTTTGGTACGACACCGCGTCCTTTGATCTCACGGCCGAGTTGCGTTTCGTCGTTGGTAATACCGCAGCTCTGTGTTTTGATAGCAGCAGCAGCCCAGGATGCCCCGCGTCACACCAATCGCTACCAAGGAAGGTGAGGAGAGGGGACACCCACAGAGTGAGAAATGAAGCCTCTCGTCGGGCAGCATGACGCAACAGACCATGTGAACTGACGGGCGTGCGTGTGTGAATGGTTCAGACTTTGAGGAGAAGGTCAAGAAGGCCGAGGCCTCCAAGTTGGTCGTAGTCGATTTCTTCGCTACCTGGTGTGGTAAGTCGACAAGGACCAACACAACACAACACAACACCAGCAGAGAGGGAGGGAGGGATGTGTGTCGAGTCGATGCCGGGGCGGGATCACTGCTTGGTCTGTCTGTCTGTGGTTGCTATGATGTATGTGTGTGTGTTTGGACAGGTCCGTGCAAGTACATCTCGCCCAAGCTGGAGGCGATGAGCGACGAGTTCATGGACGTACTCTTCTTCAAAGGTAGGGACGGGGGGAGGGACATCCATCCTGCAGGGAACACACAGGGCTGACACCGACAGACGGCTGTCACGCTGCACTCACCGCCTGTATGTGGTGTGTGTCGTGACATCAGTTGACGTGGACGAGGTTGCGGACCTGGCGGAGGACCTCATGATACAAGCCATGCCGGTGAGTGAGTGAGATCGCGGTACACCGGGGGAAGGGGCAGCCAGCCACTCCTTCACTCATCGCACTGTCATCTGTGTGTCGTCTTGCATGTGTGTGCCTCATGTCAGACATTCCAATTCTGGAAGGTGGGCTCATAGAGAAGACAAGCCCGGCATTGCAGGATGTATGGTGTGGCTGTGTGTGTGTGTTGTGGTTTTCAGAGCGGCGAGAAGAAGACCGAGTTCTCGGGCGCCAATGAGGAGAACCTGCGGTAGGTTAGGAGGGGACTGACTGGAGACATGAATGATAGCAGGGGAGGAAGGGCCAGCCAGCCTGTTAGTCACCTGCCTGCCGCCGTGTGTGTGTTTGCAGGAAGTTTATTGAAGACAACAAGTGATCTATCGGTGGATGGGCGGGATGGGATGGGGTGGGGCTGGTTTGCTAGCCGTGGTTGCCTGTCTGATTGCCTGCCTGTTTGCTTTGGTGGAGAGCTGGTTGGTCGACTGACAGATAGAGGCCGTCGGTCTCATCTATCTATGATATGCACCCCACTGGTCAGTCAAGTCTGCCAATGTGAGAGAGGTCCCCCTTCCCGTCTGCCCGTCTGTCTGTCTATCTCTGGCGTCCTCCCCCCCAATGTGTGTATGTATGTATGTCCCCCATTTCCATCTCTATCTCTGTCTGTCTGTCCATGCCATGTGTGTACCCTACGTATACACGCGCTAGTCGGCGCTTTGATTGCGCCGTGCATCCATCTGTCTGTCGATTGGATTGCATGCGTTTGGAGGAAAGAGAGCGCACCCCTGTAGCTAGCTAGCCAGGTCGATCGATGAACCAACCAATCAGTCAGCCCGAAGGTCTGTCTGTCTATCTGTCTGTCTAGAGGCTTGTTTTTGAGGGTGTGTGTACTCTGCTCTGTGTGCTCGCTCCCTTCCGCTCACTCAGTCACTCACCTGTACGTATACTGCCGTCATACTCACTCAACCCTTGCTTTCTGACGGCCGGGCCAGGGCCCATTTCCCGCTTGCCCGCCTGCCCCCTGCTGTCCCTTGCATGCCTGCCTGTCTATCCGCCTGCCTCGCGCCATGCCCACCACCACCACGGCGAGCCCCGTTGCCTGCCTGCCTGCCTTTGTGGACCATATCTATTACTTAGATGCAATACGACACGTACACTCACCGGGTGGGCTGGTTGGTTTTGCCCCATGTCATGTGTCTGTCTCGTGAACCCTTGCTTTCTGACGGCCGGGCCAGGGCCCATTTCCCGCTTGCCCGCCTGCCCCCTGCTGTCCCTTGCATGCCTGCCTGTCTATCCGCCTGCCTCGCGCCATGCCCACCACCACCACGGCGAGCCCCGTTGCCTGCCTGCCTGCCTTTGTGGACCATATCTATTACTTAGATGCAATACGACACGTACACTCACCGGGTGGGCTGGTTGGTTTTGCCCCATGTCATGTGTCTGTCTCGTGGACCGATGGACAAACGGCGATGGATGGATGGATGAAGGGCTTGCGTGATCGAACGAACGGTCAAGATTGCTGGCTGCCTGCTTTTCCCTCTCAACCCCTGTGGGCGTTTGTGTGTATGTAAGACCGGTAGACAGTACAGACAGGCAGACAGACAGGCCGACCGAGAGCAAGCTGACTCGACTGACTTGCTGGCGCAGATGTGACGGGGGCGGCGTGGTGTAGCCCTGGTGGGGTGGAAGGATGGATGGATAGATGGGCTGGCGGCACGCAGCATCAACTGAATGAACGTCTGTCTGTTTGGATTTAAGCACACAATTCGTGTATGTATGTATGTCTGTGCGTCTGCATGTAATGTGCGTGTGTGTCCAGCACTCACTCTATCTGTGCAATCGACAACGTCTGTCTGTCACACAAACAAGGAGGGCATCTCATCTCCCCCCTCCCCCACGCCATGCATACACACACGGTCTCGCTTTCGCGCGAGCCGTCCTGTCCGTCACATCCCTCCCTCCACTCACATCGCATCACAGGAGGCACGCGTCGTGTCAGTCACCTCATCTATCGCCGATATGAACGACTCCAGGTCGTCGGCCAGCGGACACGTCACACTCACCTGATTGATTCACACATTAAGAGACAAAAGCGCGCCAAGAATGTCTCGCCAGCCCACGAGCAGACGGCCGTGTTCACTCACCTTCTTGCCATGTGTGTCGTAGAAGGCCACCTTGGAGAAGTGCAGCGCCACCCTCGGAATCGACGGCACATCACGAGCTGCCTCTCCCTCTGCGGGTTCGCCTCCCCCCGGCCCCTGACCCTCCTCAGCTTCCCCCCTGCTGTGCCGTTGTTTGGTCTCCTTGCCGTGTGTGCTGGTGTCGGTGAAGTATGAGGGGTGCGCATAGGACGAGTCGCCATGGGGGGCGGCCATGCCACCGTCAGTAGTCCTCAACAGCGGGTCGTAAGCGTAGGATATGCCGTCCCGCCTAACCAGGCAGCCATCTGTGTTGTCGTCATTGCCGCCCTCGGCCCCACCGCCCTGCTGCCGTTGGTATCCCCCCTTGTTGTTTGCCAGGTGTTTGAGGTAGTTGAAGTAGCGAAGGTACTTGAAGTCTCCAGCCAGGGGGAAGCCGCGTGACGCCAGATGGACCCGTATTTGGTGTGTGCGGCCACTGAGGATCTCCACATCACACAGCGTGAAGGCAGACGACGACCACTGCTCCTCCTGGTAATTGGCTGCCCCATCCGCTGTCGTCGTTGCTGTTGGCCTTCTCTTCTTGCGGTAGCGTGAGATGAAGTAGCGCCATGGTGTGAAGTGTGTGGTGGCCGGCAGGCCCTTCTCGTCCAGGAAACTCAGCTTCCCATTGCTGAGCTTCACCTGGATCGGCCGACACAGACCAGACACACACCAAGCGCAGGCACACACATCACATACATGTGCTCGTGGGGCTGCGTGAGTGTATACTGCCTGCCTGCCACGGGTCGGGTACCTACACACCGTGCGGATGCGTTTGTCGCAAACGTGATGGGTAGCGTCCTTTGACGGCGGCGGGACGTGTCCGTGCACGAGTGCAGTGTAGTGCTTCTCCACGAGCTTGGCGTCGAACTGCAGCCTCATGTGGATGTAGGCGTCGTAGGTCTTGCCGACCAGCAGGGGGCCGCTGGTGAACCGATCCAGACGGTGACACATACCTGATTCATTGATAGATACAGACAGACGCACACACAGATAGATGCCCACGGAACGGATGCACATATTCATTTCTCTCCCTAAAAGTGCGTATGGTCTCTCTCACACACCGTGGAAGATGTTGGGGTCGCATGTGGCCTCGTGTGTGGGGTAGTGCTCGTTGAGCCACAGACTGACGTGCGCATTGCGGCTCAGACTCTTCTGAAACCCTGAGGCCTCGTCAGCCCCCGCCCCCTCTCCCTCACTGTCGGGACTCCCACATGTTGTCGAGTAGAGTCTCACCATCGCCGCGCCTCGGTCGACATTCAAACCGCCACCAGCCGACGGTGACAGGCCAAGAGATGCTCTGAGCGTCGCCATATCCTCGCTATTGTCGTCTCTCCTCCTCCCTCTGTGTTGCTGCTGCATGTGTCGCTTCGGCTCCGCTTTCTTGCTGTCGTCTTTCTTGCCAGTGTCGGTCCCCCTGGCCTGTCGTGTCACTTCATCGAAGTCCACAGTCCACCCAGCTGGCTTGAACAAAACCAGGATGCCGTCGTCCTCGTACAAAGGATACGGGGTACCAAATCTTTGCTCGAGGGCGTGGACGAGGTGTCGGCGTGAGTCAGAGGGGGCAATGGGGGCGACAGGGAAGGAGGTGCGGTCACGATGCTTCGACCACCTGCCACACACAACCCCATATATCGTCCGATGAGTATTAGTGTGCGGTGTCTCCGTTTGCTTCCGGTTCTCACCATGCAGGGGATGCGTTTGTGGTCGGATCGCTGTCTCGCTGCAGCTTGAGCACCCTGCACCGGCGAATGAGCTCGTTCCGGAACAGCCCAAAGAGGTGAGGGTACACCTGCAACAGATTGAGCTGGCTGTAGGACCACAGCATCACCCACAGCAGATGCTCCGAGAACGACGCCAGCTTGAAGCTGCCACTCCAGCCGGGCGAATGCTGACGGTCTAGTGCATCCCTTGTGAGCTGCCATGCGAGGTCGTGCCAGATGGGGTGAGAGGGGGACAGGTGAGCGCTGGCGAGGGCATACAGTGAGAGCGACAGCGACGTCTCGTCAAGGTCGCGCTTGAAGGACGCCTTGGACTGGCTCTTGCCCGTCTTTTCGCCGTCAGCGTCTCCGTCCTGCTGGCCGCCCTGCATGATGGTCATTATCTGCAGCCGCCGCCTCAGCTCGTCAGCCGCCAGCCAGTAGAAGTCCGCCAGACAAGCACCATCTCCAGCCACGGCTGAGGCATAGTTGGACCGAGATAAAGACCACAGCACGTCAGCCAGGCCTTGGCCAGTGAAGCGAGAGAGGAAGGGCGAGAGGAAGCCCTGGACAGGGGGCGGCCTGACACTGTCGGTGCCCTCTGGATACTCCCTCATCAGCTGCTCTCCTGTTGGGTCGTCCGGTGGGATGGGCGGGACCGGTGAGAAGTCAGGGGCGGATGAGGAGGGGTGGGGGGCAAAGGGAAACGGCTCCGACACCCGGGCACCATGCTGGGCCAAGCGGTCAACCTCACGGAACAGCCTGCAATCCATGCAGGGAGGGCACAAGGGCAATTGCGGTAAGGTGTGTGTGGGTGTACCGCACTTGCCGATGCGATGCCAGTGCACTGCGTGTCCGCCTGTCTGTCTGAGTGGCTGGGTGGCTGGGTGCTGACCTCTGCACTTTGACGGCGGTGTCCGGGGGAAAGTCCAGTTTGGTCAATCCCCATATCGCCATCGACGTCGACTGCGTGTCCTCTGCACACAAGACAGACATGCACAAACAGCGGTGGCACGAGAGAGAGATGACAAAGAGAGATGCATCCATCCATCCATCAGTGTCCATCCCATCCAGGTTGCGGTTGCTCACGTGTGAGTTGGTCGGGCACCTTGACGGCCTGGTCGATGGCGCCGTCGACCAACTGGCGCAGCGCCTCCCTGTCACTGTCGCCTGTGTACCAGTGCCTCTCCCTCTTGCTGTACAGTCTAATATACATGATGGCATCGTCATCAAAGGTTTCCTCGTCGCCCTTCAGCAGCCTCTTGCCACGCCGCTGCTGCTCGTCGTCCACACCATCATTGCTCATCCACGTGCGCCCGCCCACCTCGTCAGGCCGCCCCCATATGGTGGCCACAGACCATATCACCATGGCGATGTCATACGCATTGTACTTGTGCTGCAGCGACGGACCCGCCAGCGTGAACTGGGCGACGCGGCCGAAGATGGCCTCGAGAGATGGCGTGTGCCCATGCGACCGCCGCCTCGGCGCGTCCTTGTGTGTTTTGGCAATGGTGTAGAATGTCATGCCGATATTCCGCGGCTTGCAAAGGTCCAAGGTGTCCGACGCGGCTGAGTTTGCCGTCTGGGGGTCGTACCGCCTCCACAGATCTTGCAAGAGGGCGTCCCATAACGTCATCCTCTCGCCGTCGGCCGACGCCACAGCAACATTGAGCAGCTTGAGCTTGGTTGCCTGCCATAGGACGTTGACGACGAAGAGCGGGAGGGCGTCGGGGAGGTGCAGGGCAATCCTTGGGACGATGGTTTCTCGCAGCAGACCTATGTCAGGCCGCTTCTGCTTGGATGCTTCAGCCTGGACCACAATCACATGGCAACAAGCGATGAGTCATTCGTGGTCAGCAGCACAGCATCTTTGTGGCTCACCAGATATCTGAAAAGGTGTTTGTCTTTGCGGCCATCCCGGTCACTGCTGGGCGATGGCGGCGCCTCGGGTCCCTCACTGGATTGCTCATTCGAAGCTGAGGAAACCGTCACTCGCTGTCGGATGAATCGAACAAAGGGGATAGATCTCAATCTTCTTTGCAGTGGACGAAGATATGGTGCACTCAGCGGTATCATTCTTAACTGTTTCATCCAGAAAGGGTTGGTTGGTTGGTTGGTTAGTGTGTTTAGCGAGCCTCGTGTCTGTAACCCCGGAGGGATCCTGTTGTCTCACGCACTAAACTAGCAGCATGTACATGCAAAGCATGCACACGGCCTGTCTACCCCTCCCTGCACTGGCACCGGCGGACAAACAGATGGCAACAGAGAGCACTGGCTGCCTTGTAGAACGTTGACAAACACCGATTCCGGCTACATACACAAGAACGGGCGCTGTCGCCCAGCAAGAGCCATGGCAAGTGTACAGAAGCCAGAAGGGGGAAGTAGAAAAATGAGCGTCCTCTGAGCCACCAAAGCAACAATCAGCCAATCACATGAATACACCACCATATACAC